CCAATGCTAGAGGGACAAACTGATGTAACCCACAGTGTCTTCACCACTTCTCCTACAACATATGATACTGAACACATAACTGCTGTTCCAGCGGGCAGAGATCAAGAAAGAAAAGCAAACTTAGGTATGTTTAATTCCATGAACTCTTTTTGCAGCTGAACCTAGCATTTAGTTTGGATTCAAAAATGGGTATCAAGCTGACTTCACCTTTCTCTTTAAATGTCAACTTCAACCCATATCTGTAAATTTTGGGGGGAACAGATGAAATTTCAAATTATTGATTAATCTTTAAAAAAAAAAAGAGGAAACTCTATTAAAAGCAGCATAATAGATGATTTATTGTAAAAAAAAATTGTTAATGGACAAATACACAATTGCTGCATTTCTTCAGATGAAACTGCTTATTTATATTAAAAATTTGATACTAAAGGTGGGTTTTAACATTTCTAAAGGACATTTTTATGCATAGTTTCAAGGCTCAAGTGCTGCAATGGTACAAACCACTGATAATAATCTTCTTGTGCTAGTTAGAATTAAGGAAACTTAGTGTTAAGGGAGCTAGACAATCTCAAGAGGTCTCTTACAACATTAAACAGTTATGTAATTCTGTAACTTTTGCCTCAGATCATTAAAAAAAATAATGGTGCCTTAAAAAAATAATAATTTATTTACGCTGAAGCAGATAACAGTAACTGCAACTGCATAGACAAAAATTTGCTGCCATTCAGCTCTACCATGTCTAACATCAAAATGCTTAATCAGTCTGTGATGTAAAAAATATTCTGACATTAGAACTGAGTTTTTAGTTACTAGAAAAATACAACTGGAAATGCCTGCATAAATTTAAGGAAACATAAACATTAATCAAAGATCTTCATGGGAGATTCTTTTTAGATTGGGATATACATATAAAGGTGGGAAAGAAAAATGATTTTTTAAAAGAATTTACTGTAACACCAGCTTTTTCACTAGGCTGCAAAAACATTGCAATTCTAGCCTTCTGTTTGAACTTTTATAGCCTATATCATCACTTCAGCACCTCAGAATTTCAGGTTACCTTTAGAAGTTGGAGGCCCTTTAGAAAAGGCATCTTATATATAAGCACAGAAGAGCCTTGTTTTTCAGTTAATTTCAGTTAAATTCAGAACTTGTAGATCAAGAGTTCAGAATTTTAAAAAAGTTTAAACATTTTAGAAACTTTAAAAAATACCTATTGGAGGCTTGAATGAAATTGAAACATAATGAATTACTAGCAACGCATAGATAAGGGATGGAGAAGGAGCAGCAGAAGGAGGCTCATTTATAATCAATGTTTCTCTAATACAGGTAATCCACTTTCATCAATACAAAAGCCTATACTTAAAAGACAAGCACGGGTAGATTATAGTCTTGATATAACAACAGAAGACCCTTGGGTTAAAATTTCTGACTGCATAAAAAGCTTATTTAATCCTACAATGAGTGAAGATAACGTCCACTTAGATTTGCAACCTGGCATCGACAAAACCAAAGAGAACCAAAATCGAAGCAGCTCAGAGACAGCTCTGAAGAAATCAGAATCAGAAACAGTCAGTTCAAAAGTACTAAAATCAGGTGAAAATGACAGCACGAAAAAGGGTCCTCCTGTTGCACCTAAGCCAGCCTGGTTTCGCCAAAGTCTGAAAGGATTGAGAAAAGCAAATTCAGATCTAAAACCACAGGCAGATCAAAGTCCTCCTGACCCTGAGAGTATTTCCAGCAAAGAACTGCAATCCAGCTTATCCCGAGTCTCCCCTAGGGGATCATCAATAAAACAAAGAATAAGCTCGTTTGAATCCTTGAGTGCTCCACAGTCACCTGAAAAATTACACCGAAGGTTTAGCCTGAAACCATCAGTCCAGAAAGAACACTCTCCTACTGCAACAGGGTCAGAAGTGGCTCCAGCTCATTTAAACCAAGCCCTTCTCCAACATTGTGAAACTAGCCAACAACAGTCAAAGCCACCTGTGGTCACGGGTACAAAGAGCCTAGATAGATCTCCCTCTCCTGGGGAGGCCTTTGCGGCTAGCTTAGAGCAAAGCGACAATGCCAACACTGAAAATTCCTCGGGTCTCTCAACTACAGAATCCGTTGCACCTTCCCATCTTGTATCGGTCGCAAAAGCACACAGCCTACGATCACGAAGCTTCCCACTTACTGCTACCCAATCTTGTGAGATGATGAAGACATATGATGAAAAGTATAGCAAAATCTATTCCATCAGTAGCCAGGTGTCGTCTGCTTTAATGAAATCTTTACTTTGCCTTCCTCAGTCTCCAGTCTCTTCTGGAAACAGTGCATGGGAATATCTGGACACATTGTCTCAGTCCTCTGTGGAGGAGGATGGGACTTCTCCCTCACCTGCAAGTGAAAATCATCACCTGGACACTGGATTTTCACTAAAGTAAGATACTGTATTTAAAAATCAGATTTGCAGATCAGCATTGGTGGGCATCTGTGCTGCTCCACTGACAGATTAACATTCTAAGGTAGTAGCGCACAGTAGTAATGCACAGACTAAGAATTTTTTTAGAGCATACAGGTTGAATGACTCACATGACTGCTACACTTCTTTTAATTTGTAATATATAAGCACATGTATATTTCACACTTCCTCCTACTTAAGGAGGAAAATTTCTAGCATTGCCATGATAAAGAAGATTTAAGTCTGGTTTTGCCTGGGGCCAAGAGATTATTCCTATCCTTTTCATGTGATGCATCTTACTTCTGTTAGGCTAACATGATTAATTTACATTTGTATGTATTTATTATACTTACTATAGGAGCTACCACCCCAATTAAATAAGATCAAATGATGACTGCTCCAAAATTGTCTGTGCCATGCTTTTGTGGGTATGTTCTTTCATAACTCAATGTTTCTTTTTTTATTCTTGTTACAATGGGACAGCCTCTCCGAATTGAGAGAATATACTGTGAACCTAGCAGACAATGAGAAAGAGGAAGAGAAACAGGAACATGGCTCACCTCAAGCATCCGGTGTGTCAGGGCAGTCTGTCATCTCTCTGCTTTCCCCTGAAGAGTTAGCAAAGCTTATAGAGGAAGTCAAATCGCTAGATGAAGCAACCTTAAAGGTAAATCTGCTTTTTCTTTTTGTGCATGATTTTCAGAAAGCTGTGGAGTGGATGTGCCTGGTTAATCTTTGCAACTTCATATCATAACAAATAAAACAGTCATCTCAATTTGCAGCAGTAGTAATATTTATCTCTTTTGATCAAAAATCTTGAAGAAGTCTTCAAAGATAACTAAGCAAGAGTGATACCCATTTAATTAGTGGGATAACAGTTATTCAGCAATTAAGGTCAGTGTATGCAGAAGCAGGCATGAGCAACCTGGTCTAGTAGAGGGTATCCCTGCCCAGGCAGGGTGGTTGAAACTAGATGATCCTTAAGGTCTCTTCCAACCCAAACCATTCTATGATTCTGTGATAGAGGAGGTCTTTCTTTTTATTTGGATTGCCAGTCTGAGATACCCAATGCCTCATTTTAGGGATACTGAGCAACCTTTAATCTAGCTGGATTCATCTAGAATTGTGATAAAGCCCAGAATAAGTAAAAATCAAGGTTAAATCTGTGCATTCCAGACTGTAAAGGCTTTTATAGACTGCTCACACTCAAAGGAAGAGCAGAGAACATCCAGAGCTCTGCACTGAAAACAGTTCAGCTTCTGCTGGCAGCCATGTGCTTGCTGTGTTAAGACACTCCAAGCTGTGCAAAAGCTGCCTACCTGCACTGACGCACCAATGAGCCTAAGCTAAGAGAGCTTTTGCCTCGTAGCTAACCGCAGCGGCACGTCTCCCAGGTTAGTCCTGGTTTGTGTCCGTACTGCATGGACTGTGGGAGTGAATTATCTCTGCCTGTCAGAATACTAGGTAGACATAGTCTCATGTCAGAGACAAATTCTCACTGGCTACACCAAACTTTGCTAGTACGTTGCAAACAAAAAGCAATTTGACAAGCAGAATTAATGAAAGGCAAGTTTTGTATCAATTTGTGTTTCTTGTCAACATCCCATGTTGATATTTTTGGTCTGCTCGGCAGTAAAAGCTACATGGGAGATTAGCCTCTCTCGTATCAAGTCGTCTGTTTTCATGGAACTTTAAGGACAATCTCAGAGCAGCAGGTGCCCTCTGCCTGGTTACAGCTGGCCAGTGGATTCAATTGTGGAAGGAAACAAGACAATACCAAAAGATGCAACCACACTTGCTTACATGCTAAACATGATTTTGAAATTGTGGTCAAGAAAGCCGCGTTTCCTCAGGAAACTAGGTTAAACAGGAGTTGTTACCCTGTACAAACTCATTTTTGGGATAACACAGTCAGAGACAGCTTACTCCACTTGTTACTAGAACATTGTTAAAAAAAAACCCAAATAAGACAGAAGCAATTTTTAAGCTGTGACACTTATGAGTTGTATGCCAAATTATTTTTCCACTTTTTCAATGAAAAGATCCTCTAGCATAATTCAGCAATATTTTCTGTTTCTACAGTACGTGATATCTATACTCTTTAACAAAATTCAATTTACGTTTCAGATCCAACTGATAACCTGTTTACTAAACCAGAACCATTTTAGACACAGAATAGCATTTTGTAAAATAGGTAATTAACAGGTAAATTTGATCAAAACCAAATACTAAACATCTCAGTATTATGCTTATGCCACTAAGTCTCTTTAAAAAATGCACAACGGACATGCTGATTTTCCAATCATCTTGACATATCTATTGGGAAGTTCTTGACATTCTTTTTTTTTTCTCTGCCCAGGAATTTGATGATATTCATGTTACAATTTTGCATAAAGAAGAAGATACCGGGCTTGGATTCAGCCTGGCAGGGGGCATTGATCTAGAAAACAAAGTGATAACAGTAAGTAGCATCTTTGTTAAAAAATAGCCCAGAACCAACTCTATCTAAAAACATGTAACTTACCAGTTTTCTGCTACAGAGGCTGACTTTTGGCATGATCAAAGTAGGCAGCTGTAGTGATAGAGTCAGAAGAATCATTGTCTTAATGGGTGAATAAAGGATCCTTCTGCACAGAGGTGCCCTCTCCAGGTGACTGGCAGCAGTGTCCTGTTTCCTAGGGCACCATACTCCCCAGCAGCTCTGACAGCCACAGCGGAATAACATACAGCCTTCGGCAAGAAGTAACTAACATCTTATTCACATGCTTATAGAAGACCATGCAGGGCGGTCAGGAGGAATGAGATGAATGCGTAGACACGTAAGGGGTCAGGAAGCTAGAGCCTAGCTTCATGTCTTCTACCTCCCACTAGCAGAGCAGTGAGAGGGTCAGGAAGTAGCGCAAGCAAGGTAGGTACCATGGGCACATAGATACCGGGGCTAAACAGATTGCCTAGCTGCTTGAAGAGGGCTGTGCCCAGGACAACTTCTCTGCACAAATTTATTCAACCCTCAGTCCTGAAATGTGCTAGACACAACTCGTTCCTGGCAAAGAATGGAAAATGAGCGTGGTAAAAAAGCATTAACTGAGCGATCTAGTGATTTGTCCTTTTTTCCCCTCTTTCCTTGTGTGTGTGTGGTGATTGGGCTCTTCAATAGGTTCACAAAGTGTTTCCCAATGGACTAGCATCTCAGGAAGGAACTATTCAGAAAGGAGATGAAGTACTATCCATTAATGGAAAGTCTCTTAAAGGTGCAACTCACAGTGATGCCTCGGCAATCATGCGGCAGGCTCGACAACCCAGACAAGCTGTTGTTGTCACTAGAAAAGCTAAAGATGGAGAAAAAAATCTCAATGTTTCAATCAACTCTAGCAGATCTTCGGTAGCAAGTGATGCCTCACAAGAGTCTGGTAAGTTCAATGGCATTACCTTGCAGCCTCCACCTGCTAAGTGTTTGCTCATCACCTGAAGTCTGGATGTTCATAAAGCAGTTCAGCATTGGCTGTGTAAATCTGAGAGCGATGATTAAAGACAGCATGGTTAACAAAACATTCCTGAAGCTGGAATTTGTAATAAATTTGTTGGAAAGGGAAAGAATTAACAGATTTCTAAAATAAAGGAACAGTTTGGAGTAACATAAGTGTGGTCCTCTGTATGAATTTCTGTAGACATACAAAGATTATTATTGTAGTAACACATCTAACAGAAGGTATAATGACAACTCAGTGAACAGTAATTCTTTAGTCTAATATTATTAGATTCTGGTTTACAAGACTTTCTCTGTGAATTTTGGTTTGAACAAACAATGTGCTATTGTCTGATATAGCAGGTGGCTTCATCTGAAACATAGCAGGGTCAGATTTTTGCAGAACCTTTCATATTCTTGAGACATTTCTGTGGTGTGGGGCTTGTTGGTTCCCCCCTCCCCCCAAGCATAATCTGGGGATCTGTGGCTTTATTTATGTACTGCAAATAAACATTAGCAGCTTTGTAGGTTGATAACAATTTCATAACTAACATCAAGAAAAATATGTTTACCTTAAATTTTGTTCATTGAACAAATTTTTCTAATTCTAGCAAATGTCACCAGCTTTAATTTTTGTATTTCCATCCTGCCATGAATTCAAACATGACCTGCTCTCCCCAGTTTCCCAGAGGGCCTTACAATGACAAAATGAGGAGTCAAAAGTTATAGTTTTCCCTTTCATTTGTCAGTTTATGGTGCCTTTGCAAACAAAACAGAAGTTCATTTTTTGTAACAGATGTTTTAGCTTTTCAGACTATGCAGTGCCCATCTGCTAACTTTCCATTTGTTTCCAGCAACTGAAGATACAATCTGCACTGTAATTCTAGAAAAAACACCCGCCGGTTTAGGATTCAGTCTGGAAGGAGGGAAGGGCTCTGTTCATGGAGATAAACCCATCATCATCAACAGGATATTTAAAGGTAAACACAGTTAAATGCACATACAGCAAGTTCTTAGCTGATGCAAACTTGTGCTGTTCATAACTGACTGCTGATTTATACCCATGAAAATGGTATTTTTTGTAAATGCAGCATTATCTTGTGCAGTGCCAGCAATTTGTTGCCTGCTGAGACCAGGTGGTTTATACCAAACATGCTGGTGATCCTTAATAAGTGAAAGATCTGTTAAAGACTCTGCACATAGAATTAAAGGAAATTCATTTTCTTTCTCCAGGGACTGCATTAGAACAAAGCAGCCCTGTTCAGCCTGGTGATGAGCTACTACAAGTGCACACAACTGCCATGCAAGGACTCACTCGATTTGAAGCATGGAATATAATCAAGGCATTACCTGATGGGCCCATCACAGCTATCATCAAGAGGAAGAATCCAAGCTCTGTTACCACCAAGTCATCTGAAACTTTGTAAGAGGAGGAATTAGACTACTGCCAATATTACAAACAGAAAAGGATTTTATTACTTGCAGCCATTTGGCAAGCACAGCAAGATACTCAAAGTGCATATGAAAAGTATGTATGATCTTATTGCCAGCTACAGAGCAAACTGTCTGGGATAAAGTAAGATCTGCACAAAATGTACACGATTGTTATTTCAGCATTCAGAAACAGATGTTCCAAAGTGTAGAATTATATATAATGACCATTAATAATATACTGGTTGTAATAAAATAAGTGATAGCTATAGTACTCTCCTATTTTAAGGCATTAACTTAAATATCAAATGCACATTCTGTGCGAAGTTTTCAGTCCTACTCTACAAGTCTTGTCCCCTGCCTTACCCAGGAGGAAGAAATATGTCTACAACCCTAAACACTACACCAAAGGAATAGCCTTAGGGAATGTGTAAAGGGCAGAGAAAGGGGATGCAATTTTGTGTGTCAAAATGACAACATCCCTGAAAAACTCCAGCTTTTCTATTCAAACCACAGAACAGCCAAAACCTGTCTAGGGTATCTTTCTACTAGCAATTGACAGAACCATCTCAACTCCAACAGGCAAACATGGGTGGCGGTGGTGGTAAAGGACCGTCTCGCAATGTTGCAAGGGTGAGGCAGGATGCTGAGGGTAATATAGTGGAGGTTTTTCTAACCTTCCTCTGGCCAGAGGACTACAGCAGGAGAGTAACAAGGCCATTTAGAACCAACTTTTACCTTCTAACCACACACATTTTTTGAAATGTCTTTGTGTTCATTTTGTAAGGGAAAGTACCTTACAAGTGAGAGCATTTGGGAATTAAAAGTTCTGAATCTAAACGTTTATTCTGGAAACACTAAATAACTTGGAGATAAATCTATGCTTCAAACACTATCAGCATTTTGGCAGTCCTCTCTAAGGACTGTATGGAATTTTACCAGCAGAAGCATGTGTACCTATGGCAAGATGGTCTTGTGCACCTACTTGGTTTTCTCTGACCGATTTCACTAAAGGGAGAGATGCAATATCAGGAAGGACATAGTGACATGCCAGTTGAAAGTCAGATGGCTGCACTGCTTATTGTCCTTGGCTGTTCACCTTCCCATAGCTGGGAATTGCTGCAGCCTTGAATACTTAATTTTACCAAACCATACAACTGCAGGGGTTCAGAAGCTGTTTTCTGTGCACTTAACACAATGTCACAGAAACAGCAATTGAGAGGAAGGAAAGTAGGATAGACAGCAGAAAGTATTAATTACATCCAGGCATACAACTTGCTTTGGCCTTTCCTCACAAGTCAACTCTATGTTAATCCTCAAAAGTACATTCTTGACAAGCCATGTGCCCCAACACTTCCAAACCCCTTCCCAATTGAGCTGCGTTTTCCAAAACCCAACCAAACAATCCTCAAAACAAAGTTTATAGGGATTGGGTAGCAACCAAGATAGGAGAAAAATATGAGAGGGAGTCTTTTTGTACTTTTTTTTAAGCTGGTACTTACCTGAAACTCTCTGAATATTTCATTGGGTTTTTTTAGAATTTCTTGTATTTAACTTAATCTGCATTATTGGCTTAGGCTTAACAAAGTTTAAGTAAATGCCTGGTGCATATAAAAGATTCTAAAATTTTTCAACCACTTGCCCATACCACCAATGCAGGAAAAACATGAATGATTTCTGCACAGAAAAGAGGGCCTGAACTCTTCAGCACTGTTAAAGTTTTCCTGTGAAAGATCAAATTTTTGGTCAGCTTCATAACTTTTACAACAGAGACTGGACTAGTTACAGCCACAGCACAGAATACCTTAATTACTTCAATGCCATCTGCTGAAGGTGTCCTCACCTGAAACAGCTATTAAATTTCATCAATTTAAAACTGACATAGAACCACCAAGACATGTTTGATCTCGTTTTTCCAGAGGTGCTCTTACTTCCAAAATTTCCTGGCATCTGCCATGATCAGAAGAAGTCAAAACATACTGTATGACAGGCAGCGTGTCTCACTAAGGAGTTCTTCAAGATCTTACAAGATGATCTTTGCCAAGAAATTCCCATCTCCAATTTGGCAGGGCAGAAGGCTGAATGTCAAGGACTCTTAGTTCCTTCTGGATAAAATGTGTTGAGCACTCTGAAAAGGGATTCTTAAGTTATTCCAAGGAAGAGTCTCACCTACCACCTCTAGTGCTCAGAGCAATAACAAAAATATTAAAATACATAATAAATAGCTAATAAAAAGCCCCATTGTCTGCAAAAGCTTTACTTGCAGGAATAACAAGTGGTGACCTGAGGTCTGCACCTTGAACTTTTTGCTAATTAAATTAATCAAAATCCTGCAAAAACTTGCCGAGATACTGAACTTCATGCCAACAACTTTAGTACATTTAGATAAATATGTATGAGCCTCTGTAATCTCAGGGCCCAAATGTCTCCTCAGTGAATGTTACTCTTCTTATGCACAGAAAGTGGCAATCTAAATTGGAAATAAGGACCAAACATCAAGGGAAAGAAGCTGGGAGGGTGAGTGCTCTCACCAAAACACCTTTAATCCTCAGTGGGGAGTGTAAACTGGAGTGAAGGCTTTTCCCTCTCTTGTTGCCTTGGACCTTCAGCATCTCTCTGAATACAAGTGGCTCTTACATTTGTTCCCTGACAAAACAGGTACACGAGGAACCATTTTAAAGGATGATACAGGAAAAACAGCAAGATGTAGCGGAAAAATATTTATTACATCACACTCATACAAGGTTTTACATCTTTGTACACAAAGGACACTAGATTAAAAACTGATTCCTTGAAAAAAATCTATTCCATAGTGTGAGATTTATAGTGGGAAACTTTGTGTGCAACTCCTGTACTAAATATAAAGTCCTATACTAAATATAAAACAAATACAAGGACAGAAAGCAGAACATATTAACCTAGTTAAATAATTGAGTTAGAGCGTTAAAATCACAACCTGCATTTAAATTCCTAATTCAGCAACTAGTTTTTCTTTTGTAATAATATGTAATCTACAGTAACGTCTGACATTCCTGCAGTAACCAGCACCATAAATGTTTTCTAAAGCTGGATGCATCACTGCACACAAGATCAGAAGCCGATTTCCCAAGATAGTGCTGTGAGGCAAACCAGTCTTAGAGAAAAAGCAATGTCCTTATGACCTGTCAAGTCAAGACTAAGCTACAGAAAAGATTATTTACCCGTTAAAACATCTCACCACAAGAGATCGAAAATGTTCAAGTACAATTAAAAATGGTAATTTCAAGTACAGTTCAAAAAATGGCAAGTAAAGTGCTCCATTGTCTGTCTTTATTGCCACTCTGTCAGTGCAATTTGTTGCATGACATTGTGGAAATCACTGGGTTTGGTACAGAAGGGAGGAAGGAAGAGTATCTATTTTCTACCCCACAGACCTATGAATTGATTTGCACTGCTAGACGTCAATTTAGGAAAAAAGCACTTAAGGCATATTTACCATTAGTACTGAAGTCTGCTAGAACAAACAACTGGGATCCTCCACACAAATCCAATTTGTTCTGGCTTTTACCATTTGTTGGCTTGGACCCACTGAAGCAGCTCAGCAGCTCTATGAGTGCTGATAGCAAAAGAGCTGCCTCTTATTTTGGGGAAGGAACGTTGTTCCACAGGAGTCTATGGGGAGCTTCACGCACAAACCAGGGGTGACCTGCACCTGGCTAACGCTATAGTGCTCAGTGGATTTTAGCAAAGCTCCTCCTCACAGACGCTAACAAAGTGTGGCCAAGAACAGATCTAGTATGTGCATCTTCTCCCCACGCACAGCCCCCAGTGCTGGCTCCAGGATCCTTTCAGCCTCTGGTGTGACACTTTTCTAATTATGAAAATGAAGGATAGCATATCAGAAAAGAATGCATTGCTTTCCATAGAGACAGGTAGAAAACGCTGGTTTAAAAATCTGCTTTACTCAATCCATTGCTCCCCTTTCATCTTTCATAAGTATCTCTGCTGGTAGTAAAGTCCTGTAAGGCCAACTTCCTATTGCTATCCTCAAGCTGCCAGGCTTTTTCCTACTCTCAGCTGGTGGTGTCAGCAATTGGTCTTGTCAGGCTTTTAATGCCTTAACAGCTTTGGTCAGGTTGCTGTAAAACCCAGCTATGCTGGCTGGAAAGAAGGAATCCACCACCGTCTGGGGAAGATACCCACCAAGATCAGTCTGAAAGAAACTGAGGAGTTGAGTTCTGTCTGGCTCCCTGCAAAGACAATACAAGTAATTTTATAGCCAGCAGTTTAAAATCGTTAAGAACTTTATAATGACTCATATATATTGTCCAATGATAGGTATTTTCAAGTACTTTTTTTTTTTTTAACAGACATTAATTCCAAATTTCAATGAATCTGGCTATCTCCACAAGTCAAATTACAGTTAAACTAGGCCCTAATTAGGTACATGACTCTATTTATTAATTACAGCAATGTAATAACCAGATACTCATTTACCAAAAATTCAGACCATACTTGTATGTTCTGCTGAATCTCTGCTTAAGAGGTCAGCGAGAATCCTACCATGATGATGGTTCCTGTAACATTAAAGACTTCCCGCTAGGAAATGAAGAGAGACTAATTCATTGCACGCACAAAGAGAACAAAAAAGATGCTCTGTCATAATGATTACCAAAGGAAGAGAGAAACATGCTATTGCCAAGAGGCTACAGATCACATGTGGCCACGTACGCATGAGCACACCGCACGATGGATAAGAAGGGCTTTAGAATACATAACGTTCAGATAGATCGCTTCTTACCCTGGAAGAGGTATACAGAAACAGCCACAGGGATAATTAAAACCTCTCACGAAATTTGGTTGAGGAGGACACAGTGGGTGTTCCACGTTGGTGGCTGTAAGAAAAAAGCATTCAAGAACAATGTCATTTTCACAGAAGATGGAAAAAAATACTCAAAGCACCAGGCTGAGAAGCAAACTCCCTAAAAGAGAAAATATTTAAGAAGAACGTCAGTATAACCTTTTCAATGTGGGGCTGTGCCATACAAGCAGTCAAAAGGAGGTTAAAAGGAACCGCT